AATTTCAACATAATCTTCTAGATTCCGTGGAATATCCTCTAACTTGTACTTGTTTTGTGCAAAAAATGCAGTTTCTGATGCACCACAATCTGATATCTACAAGCTAGTAGACACATTTTATGATCATGTTGTTTCAAAATGTGGAGCTCGAATGACGTAAAACGCGTACAAACTGGAAAATATTCCACACAATTTAGAAGATTCCACTAAAAAGTCTCATATATATAATGTATATCCCTTCTTTTTATAAGATAGATAATAAATATTTTGGGGTAGAAAAAGCAATAAAAGAAAAGAATATGGACCAGAGCAGCAAAATAAAAGCTATTTATGGGGGCTGCAGATGACAGTAGAGGGCCACCTAAAATTACTCTTAGATCGGTTAATCATTATGCTGATTGAGTAAAAAGAAAGTTGGGAGATTCTTTCTGCTTCCAACGCTTTCTTAAATATTCAAAAAGAGGGAAAATTTTGTCAAATTAATTGACTCAGTTCTGAATTTCAGAGCAGGAATAAATAAATAAATAAAAATAAAAAATACTAATATTATATAAAAATTGATAAAATTACTCTTGAACTGCCACCTTATATATTAAAGTACTCTTGTGAGTGATGATATGTACACACATAGAGATTTTTTTTTTACTTTTTCTGCAAATATGAAATTAGTATATATAATTTACTATATTGTTTTGTACTATAATTGGGAAAAATACAGTTTTTACCCATTCAATTTCACATTTGGCCACCTATATTTTCAAAAAATACATTTGGCCCCTCGCGTTTTAATAACGTAATACTTTTGCTCATTTTCGTCAATTTACCATTAATCCGTCGGTTAAGACAGTGATGGGTACACACTTGATTCCGTTAGTTTTGACGAAAACTTGACGAAAAAAACTAAAAGTGTTGAATTTTTGAAACATGAGGAACTAAATATGCTTTTATTGAATATGGGGGGCCAAATGTATAATCATTGCAAACTTGAGGGACAAAAACTATATTTTCCCTTCTATAATCTATCCATATTTAATTTGTTTCTTACAATTACAAAAAATTGACATATAACACGTAACGAAGGGAGTAATAATTTGATTGTTTTAAGAAAAAAAAACTATTTTATTCAAAGTCCAAACTAATAAAGAAAAGACGTTGATTTAATCATGATGTTTACATTAAGGGAAAACGAAGGCAAAATAAACCTTAACATAGACACAATAATTGACAAGAACAATTTGACCTTATAATATAAAAAGAAATGGGATTGGCGCGGAAAACTATAATGAATTGTGTGATTAGTATGAAAATGAACCTATCAAATATATTATGACGAATTTAAATAAAGTGTTTTTAAGTGAAGAATCTTTAATGTATATTGTCAGTTTTGAGTTTGGTAGCAATTGTTAATTTTGGGGAAATCAGGATATAACGTGTTTATAATCGAATGTCATGGATGTTTGTGTGTGTGTGTGTGTTGAATTCATTACAAAACTAGAGTTTGCGCCTTCCTGACACTAATTGATTTTATGTCAACTGGTAGCGCATGAGGTCCTATAAATGGTATCAAAGTCGTTCGAATATAGGCGGACCACAATCGAATGCCATAAGCGTATGAGTTTAACATCGTATGATCACTACTAAAAATTTGAACACCCTTTATAAAAGTGTGGATTCCTCATTATACGTGATCAAAATTGGAGAGTTGTAGATTTACTCAATGCATCTATGTGATTGGCTGTCGATTCTTCATTTTAAAAAAATAAATAAAAAATGGTCTAAGGAGGGTACATGCACGAATGTAAACCAGAAGAAAAAGGTGAAAAGCCAAATAAAATGCTTTATAGAAACATGGGCTTGATTTTCATGTCCGGGATATGTTTTCCATTTACAAAGCTTTAATGGGCCATTCCATCTTTTTAAAGTATTTCTTTTTTGCTTTCATAAATCTAATCTTTTTCGCTTTCTAAATTGACAATTTCGGCCCTTCAACAAAAAAATTAAATGAAGAAAAGTCATCGCCATTAATGGAACTCAGCCAATTATTTTAAAAAGGTGGAAACTGCATTTGAAATTATGCTCAAACTCGTATTTTGAAACTCGATAAAAATTCAAACAAAAACAAATTTAAATCACGTAATTTGTCGTCGTCTTCTTCGTTGAGGAGACGATTAAACCTAGTATTTATATAAGCATCTAAAAGAAGAATGTGTTGAAATAAGTAATAAACGTGTGAGCGCTTTTAACTAAGATTTTTTTTCTTTTGGAATAAATTCAAGTCCATTACAACGGAAAGTAGGGGAGGGGAACTCGAACGCTAGACCTTTACTTGGTAAACTAAGAATTAATTAAATGAGCCCACATGGGTGTAGCTCAACTGGTTCCGGAGGTGGTAAGTTGGTGCAAGGTCCTATGATCGAATCCTGACAGCCGCAGTGTGGGAATTTCAACTCCAATGAGATTGGTTCCTTGTGGGCACCAGGTCCGACTTTTAGTCCGCTACCTGGGGGCGAGGGATTTCAACTTTTTTGTGCAAGAATTAATTAAATGAATTGACCTTTCCTTGGTAAACTAAGAATTAATTAAATGAATTGTGGCTTTCAGCTGACTCCTCCCTTTCCACGCGCCACTCGTTCATTTGCGGAATAAAAGTAACGAGTAACTAATAAAAATGTAATAACGAGCTTGATGGGCTTAATTGGCTTGATACCTAATGCTACGTAAACCCAATTTGGTGTAACAATTCAATAACGAATCCAGCCCAATAATAATTAAATAAACTGAAATGCTAAATCACACACGGAAATAGGTAAATCATGCACATAATAAAATTTCCTTCTCTCTCTAAAATTCCAAACGTTCTTTTTCTCTCCCCAAACAAGTTCTTCTTTTCCCCTCGCACTTGCAAAAAAAACATCATAAAACTAGTACAATAATCCGAGAATCGAACTTGAAGAAAATCTTTTCTAATTTATTCCACTATCAAGGTTATCATTTTATTTCAAATTTTGTTATGAATCCAATTAGATTCATAATAACAGTAATCCATTGCTCAGAAATTGTGTTCGATTACAAGATTAAAGATAAGAAAAATGAGAAAATTAAGCTAAAAGACGAGCTACACTAACCTAACTATGAACTAGATTCTGAAATTGCTTGCCTTTCCCAATCCCCTAATCTGCTATTTATACTGAAATGACCAAGGCAATACGACGTCGTTCCGTTGAGCAGAGAATTGATTAAAGCGTCAATTAAAAACCACGCTTCTTTAAGTTGGAGAGCAACTCTTCTTCAAACGGCGTCGTTTCTTCTCTTTTCAAAAGGGGGCTATTCTTCTCTAATTCGGCATCGTTACATTCCTTCCCCCTTAATGACAGCCTTGTCCTCAAGGCTATAACAGCATCGAGGATCCGAGCATTAGATCCCTCCTTAGCTTCTTTGTCAAAGGGCCCCACTTCATTTTTTAAATTAATGGCATGGATCATGAGCAACGAGTTAATTACAGTGAGATAACTCCAACTAGTAAGCGGCGGTGGCTCCGGCGGAAGGCGGCGTCTTGGTATAAATGAGCTATTGCTATCAAGACTATCCATGTCATTTTCAAGATTAGACACCAATAATGTCCCAAAACTTACAAGCATCATCACTCAAGCAAACAACTAATTCTTTTTCACTGTGAGATGCAGAAAATTTAAGACCATTAAAAACAACTTTTGAAGTTTCATTTTGCAACAGCAAGCAAGTGGCCATTTGGATAACATTCATAATCAACTTCTCCTCATTTTCAGCTAGTAGCTCAATTGACAATTCTGCGAAATTATTAACTTGTTCATCCAATTGTGTGAATGTCTCCAGGTACTTGGAGCACATGAACACTTTTGCTTTTTGATCCTATTCAGACAATGGGACGATCTTCTTAAACTCGAGAACATACTTGAGCATAACACTTCTTAGGCCCTCTTCCCAAAACAAGTCAAACATAAAAGTGATACACATGGAAGTGCACGAAATGGAAAGTTTTGCATCATCTGATAATGAGAAGTACTTTGCAAACAATTCCATCAATGTTTTCATGCACTTCGCCCCACTCCAAGTCATCTCAAGTGATAAAGAAATTTCATGGACATCAAGAAATGCCGCTTCACAGGAAGTGCTTTCGGCTAAAGCACTTGTAGAGCAAAATCTTTTAGACTCTTGTACCTTGAGCATTCGAGGAATTGCTGCAAGCTTTTTAAAGGAGGCAACAGTTTTCTCATCTAAAATTTGGAATATACGAAACATGCCTTTTGCAAGAACAATGGTAAGCTTCAGAGTACAAACAGATCGTTCAAGGGCGCTCCATAAAACACCACATTCATGCAAGTTATGGGAAATTCCACTTAAAGTAGCTGCAAGTTCCACGAACGAGATTATTTTAGCTTGAAAATTGTCACCACCTTTTGAGGTATGTTTAATTCGAACATTTGGGGCTGGTCTAGCATATGCCAAGAGCAACTTCTCAGCCGGTTTAGACAAGGGTTTTCCAAGAAGTAACTCAGCAGGAGACAAATTGAAGAACATATCCTCCAATTCAGCCAACACAAAATTATCACCAAACTCCCAATAAATGACATCTCCTGTCCAAATCTCGCTTGCCACAGCTTCAATCCTCATATCCGTTCCACTCTCCATATTTCCAACTCCATTCTCAACAAAAAAAAAAAAAATTATTACATGGCCAACACCATTCTTTCCCCGTGGAAAGTGGAGTGTCCCAAAACCTACTCCGACTAGAAAACCAGTCTCCGACGTTCACGACCCACTTGTAACAACATTTTTTCTTCACGAAATCCCTTATCCAATACGCTTGTTGGTTGATCTCCTTCATAACTTTTGTAAATTGAATAGAGGTTGATGTTGAGTAATTGAATTCCTCTTCATAATGCAGAGGTGGAGGCTCCGGTGGCATTCGCCATGGCTTCGCACACTTCAATCTATTTGCTGGAAAAAAATTCTTCAAACATATAACTTCATCTGACTTAATATTAGTTAGCGACCCATTCCAAATTTTGCCGCCAAGGTCACCCATGTTCAAACAAATCACTTGAAATTTGTCACCCGAACAAGCTTTGATTTCTTCTCCGATAAAGGATTCCAATTTTGATTTTGTCGTTTCATCGAACATATTGTATTCCAGTTTCGGTTTGGTCATTTTTTTGAACATATGGCGTCCTTCAATCAAAACAGCCTCCATCAGCAATTCCTCGAGTGGTTGCCCATCATTATCACCACGCAAGTTGCGCTTAAGATCCTGCTCAGTTGTACGCCCGCGTGTTCCACTTTCATCGAACTTTTCATGATTTGGAAGTCCAGGATAAAAAAAAAAATTTTGTAGAGATAAAATATTATTTTGTTTATGTGCGTGATTTAGTAAATTTTAGTGTGGAAAATCATAGAAAAAAGTTAGAGAGAAGTTAGAGAAAATAGAGTGTAGAGTAGGGGTGTAAACGAGCCGAGCCGACTCGTGAGCTCGACGAGCCGGCTCGTAAAAAGCTCGAACTCGGACTCGAGATTTTCGAGCTCGAGCTTTCTGACGAGCCGAGCTCGAGCCGGTTTTCAGTTGTTCATGAGCTCGCGAGCCGGATTTATTATTATTATTTTTTTTATTTTTATTTTTTATATGTTATTTTTATTTAAATAATGTATAATAATATAAAATATTATAGAAATAAATACAAATATTAAAAATATATATAATTACAATTTAGTTTTTATTTTTTATTTTTTAAAATAAATTTTAATTATAAAATAATAATTTAAAAATATTAAAAAAAAAAGACAATGGGCTCGAGCTCGACAAAATTGACACAAGCTCGAGCTCGAGCCAAAAAAAGAGGAACTCGACGAGCTCGAGCTCGACAAAATAAACTCGAGCTCGAACTCGAGTCAGCCAAAAGAGGCGAGCTCGGCTCGTTCACACCCCTAATGTAGAGATATAATGTCTTTTTGTAGAGAGAATTTTTTTTTTATTTATATGCGGGATTTAGTAACTTTTAGTGTATGATTTAGCACCCCATAAATAAAATATTCTATTTTTTTTAGAACATAAAAAATTATAATATTATTTGCACATAAAAAATTAAAAAATCTAATGATAATAATAAAAAAAAAAAAATTATTCATGTGAAAATGATTGATTTATTGATTATATTTTATTTCGCCGAGGGTTTTATTATTGCCCATATGATGCTTATATGCTTATATGCTTTCTTTGTTTACTCAAAATCTTAATCCACATAGTTCAGATTGTGAGTAGAACCACGGATAAGAGACTTGCAGAGAGAGAGAGAGAGAGAGAGAGAGAGAGAGAGAGAGAGATAGAGAGAGACGAAGAACTAACAAGGAAATGGTGGCGGGAAGTTCAATTCAACCTCGATTAATCTCCTCCTTTATGGGGGATGTCCGCTTTCTTCCCTCGAATTCTACTCATTCAATTCGGCGTCTCTTCAATTATAATTCAGGTTCTATTATTCGTAATACCCGTTGATTCAAGTTCTACGACTTGATTGATAGTTTCAGTTATTAGTTTCCCCCAAATTCATTTTTTTCAGATAAATGTTTTTGGAGCTAATGGTTCGGTTTGATTAATTTCTCGCAGAAAGACGACGTGTTTCGATGCAAATGTCGAGGACGTTTTCGGGATTAACAGATTTATTGTTTAACAGAAGGTGTGATTTTTCTTTACCATGAAACTTGGAGTTCTTCTTAGAGCTATTATTGGTAACTGGAATCGTATTTTTCATTTGATTTGATTTTATATAGAAATTCATGAAATTGGCAGTATAATATGTACGATGAAATGCCAAGTAGACAGTATTTTACACTGCATTGTGATTTATGATGAACTAACGGTGAACGACGTATGCCAAAGTTACATTCTGTGACAGAAGAGTAAAATTATAAGGACTCGATCGGATTTGATCGTATTTTTGGAAAGGTCAGAGAGTTTTCTACTTGTTAGAAGTTAGAACTATGTTTTGTTACAAGTACAGTGGAACCTCGATAAATTAATAACCTCGCTTAAATAATAGTTTCTCTTGGTCCCGACTCGGTGAGAACGTGTTAAATTATTAACTCGATAATTTAATAATTCGCTAAATTAATAGAATTTCTCTAGTCCCGACTCTATTAATTTATAGAGGTGGTTTAACTGTAATAGCAGCAACTATGTTTTGTTACAAGTACAGTGGAACCTCGATAAATTAATAACCTCGCTTAAATAATAGTTTCTCTTGGTCCCGACTCGGTGAGAACGTGTTAAATTATTAACTCGATAATTTAATAATTCGCTAAATTAATAGAATTTCTCTAGTCCCAACTCTATTAATTTATAGAGGTGGTTTAACTATAATAGCAGCAACTGTTGAACGAGAAATTATGCGTCTAACCGCTTGCTTTAATTCGGTTCCTTCAATTGGATAGTAAATATGTGCTACATGTAGTAAGAAAAGGTGATTAAGTTCTTAATGAGTTCATAACTTTCATTTGGTTCGATGCATATTGTTTATTTTCCTTAGCTGATATTGATAGTTAAGGCTTATTTCAGAAAGGAAAAAGAGAAGTAGAATAGGAAAAATTATGCTCGCGCTAAATCTTATGGTTGTAAACATGTAGGACATATAATTGACACCTAGCCATCCTGTTCCTGCACATAGTTTATAGCGTGAATCACTTCAGAACCAACATCAATGCAACATGTGTTTGATATTTGAGTATATTGATTTGAAAATGAGAATTTTATACGCGTTTAAGTTTCTAAGCTTCTGGGCTTTAAAAACTTAACAGGAAAAACATAAAAATATAATGAAATCATTCAAATGGGAATGGGACTCGATTTTGAAAATACAATGAAGTTTGCATTGTTCTTCTTCTTCACTATTAGTATCTCATCAGTCATCAGTCTCTGTTTGGCTACCATCTAAAGGTATAGCTCATATATTACTGTTTGTAGAGGGAAACCAATTTGTTTAGCCGATTTTTCCCCTGATAACAATCAATGGTTGAATCAAGATATTGAGATAATCTCTGTTGCACATGTTCTTTTAGTGCTGTTATTGACTTGTTGTCTTTCTATGTTTTTGCCTCCTTGGGCAGAAATGAAGAAGAATCCTCAGAAAACAAAAGGAAACGCTTAATGCCCGGGAAAGTATCTCCCAGAAGGCCGGTTCCCAGTCAGATACCATTGCCTCCTTATATCAAATCTAGGAAACCACCTGGAATTGGAAGCAAGCCTGAAATACACGATGAGAAGGGGATAGAGTGCATGAGAGCTTCAGGAAAGCTTGCTGCCCAGGTTCTTCAGTATGCCGGCACTTTAGTGAAGGTGAATTTCTGATCCTTCTGCTAATTTCTTGTCCGTATAGTTGCTGGATTTACTTTCACCTGTTCGTCCCTTAAGGCATTAAATGGTCTTGGAGGATGTAGTCCCAAGTCCTTTTGCCAATACATTGATCTTAATTGTTACTAGTTTTAATTACTATTATACTAATCCCAGATTGTGCGTTGATTCACTGACTTAAATTTTGCACCAAACTTAAGTTGCAATTAAATTTGCTTCTCTTTGGCAGCCAGGCATCACAACAGATGAAATTGACGAAGCAGTTCATCAAATGATTATCGATAATGGAGCATATCCATCTCCTCTTGGTTATGGTGGTTTTCCAAAGAGTGTATGTACATCAGTGAATGAGTGCATTTGCCATGGAATCCCGGATTCACGCGTCCTTGAGGTTCGTCATATTATAACATCGGTATCACAGGATCACTCCCTTTTTATATTTTGGTATTTTTTTCGCAAATTTAAAATCACCGGTTATGTTGGCTTTGCAGGATGGTGACATAATCAACATTGATGTTACAGTTTATCTTAATGTAAGCAATTTTTCCCCAACATCTTGTTTTCTGATGCAGTTTCTTCCCCATGTTATAGCCTTTGTTAACGTGGTAGTACTGATTTTATTTTGGAGTTTGAGTTAAATTTTACTGTTGAAATTCATCTTTTGCTCCCAGGTTGAAATTAATGTATTATTTGTCTTGGAAGAAATAAACAAATGCCGGATTCATTTTCACTATGGAGATATCTGTTATACCTAGTATTTTACTTTTGCAGTGAATACAAACAACTGGTGATTTGTTTGTGAAAATTTAATATGGTTGATGCATCACCGCCATTTTCTGTAGCCACGTAACATAACAGAGTGCAACATCGAGATGCTTGAAAACAGAGGACTATAGGAGCTTACGTAGTCTCAAGTTACTCGACTCTCTCCAAAATATCAGTACAAAGCTCGACAATTTTAGTAATTTGCTTAGTATAATTAATCGAAGTCATTATACTTAGCTTCATTTTTTGACCCTCTTGATTGTTGTAGCAAAATAACCAATAATGTTTGATAATTTCTCAAATTTCTAGATGGAGTTTTACTGCTTTTACTTATTCGATTGACCATGACATGCAGGGTTATCATGGTGATACATCTGTAACATATTTTGTTGGAGAAGTTGACGAGAAGGCTAGAAACTTAGTTAAGGTATGGTTTTTCGGGCAGGTGCATTTTTATCTCGATTTTGTCCGATTCCAATGATTTATTGAATTTATTGTCTCCAGTATCATAAAACAATGCAGTTTACTATTAATGTAATCAGTTCATTGTTTTGATGGTTGATGATTCAAAAGTTCATGCTACCAGTACTTATCATTTAAAGAGTATCCGTATTTCGTCATTTCAAGTTTAATTGTGTTTTCCATTTAGGTAACGAAAGAATGTCTTGATAAGGCAATATCAATATGTGCACCAGGAGTTGAACTTAAGAGAATCGGCAAGAAAATTCAGTAAGATATCTGCTAAATCTTTTGCAATCTCTTGGACCTTGCTATAATACAATATTACTACTTTTACGCCAGTCACCAATATTATTTCACAAACGCCGTACAGCTGACACATGCACACTCGTGTATTCGTACACATCTAAGTTCTGATGACATACTATTTTAAATTTTTAGATTTATTATATTTTAAGATTAAAAGAATTTTTGTTCAGGATTTAATGATTTATGCTTTCATTAAATCCTCTGTAAAGTGACCATGCAGATGAACACCGTTATGGAGTTGTCCAGCAGTTCGTTGGCCATGGAGTTGGACGGACTTTCCACAGTGAACCAGTGGTTCTTCATTACAGTAATTCTTCTAGCGTTTATTTAAATTATCTGTAGTTCGGTAATCTCTACTACTTGATTAGGTTCTTCAATTTCATGTCGTAAAATTCCTATTTCCTGGATTGGTGTACTTTTCCTTTCTCCGTCCTTGTCGATGTATTCATTTTAATTTTTACTAGGTGTATTGCATATCAATCAATATCTATCATTTTTTCTTCTAAATGTTTTTTCGTTTTGGTAGGAAACAATGAGCGTGGACGAATGTTGTTGAACCAAACTTTTACTATCGGTAATTTATACTCCCACAGCTTGTGCATCAAACGAACTAACATCAATTCTAGGTGTATTGTTATATTCTCGTTCTTATTTTGACATGCTTTGTGCAGAACCAATGTTGACAATCGGCAGCATTAAACCGATAATGTGGGATGATAATTGGACTGTCGTCACAGAGGATGGGAGCCTTTCTGCTCAATTCGAACATACCATCCTAATAACCAAAGACGGCGCTGAAATACTAACCCAGTGTTGATCGTCGCGCTACGAAAAAGAATTCGTCGCACATTGATTTCGTTACAGGGTGTTTCGTGTAGAGGAATACATGTAACCTGTAATTCGTAACATCATGTTTTAGTTATTTTTCTGTGATTTTTTTTTTTTTTTTTTAATTCCAACTTTGCTTGTTATATTATAACTTAATAAAAAAAAAATTATAGCTAAGATTCATACATGTTATAATATAACTTGACCTTTTGACCGGAAAAAAAAAAAAAGTAGAAAATGGGTTGAATTGAATTACAGGCAGGCATACGTGGCACCACGTACAACCTTCCGTTGCACGTTCAACCATCGGTCGCCGCCTTCTTCTGCCATTTATTTTGTCCACTGGCCCGCCTTCCATAGTGCAACACAATCCGATATATATATATAAATATCCCAATAAATAAAAATTGAGAAAAATTAAAAGGGAAAAAAATACCAACTCCATAAGAGATGAGAAATAGGGAAATATCTAGATGCGCGAGATTCTAGAAGCAATGGATTCCACGCCGGTGAATTGGGAAGCACTCGACGCCCTAGTCATCGACTTTGCCAAGTCCGAGCGGTTAATCGACGGCTCGTCGCCTCCGTCTTCTCCTTCGCCGTCCTCCTCCTCGTACAGGTGGCGCCTCCTGATTTCTCAGATCAGGCGCTTCCTCGAGTCCGGCGACATTGACTCCGCCATCGACCTCCTCCGGACGCACGCACCGGCGGTGCTCGACGATCACCGGCTCCTCTTTCGTCTACAGAAGCAGGCATGCAATTTCACAATTTTTTTCCCGTGGCGTGTTTTGTTTTTGCGTTTTGTAATATGTCGTTCCTTTGAAATTAAATTAAATCAAGCGGTTGTTGTTACACAGAAATTCATTGAGCTGTTAAGGAAAGGAACTGACGAGGATCGTGATTCTGCTATCAAGTGTGTGCGTGCATCTCTCGCGCCGTGTGCTTTGGATGCCTACCCAGTACGTTCTCATTATTGAGTGCGCAGTATTCAGATTATTATCTACATACTGTTTGTGAGTGTTTATTTCACATGTATATATATGTGTGTGTTTTGGGGTAGGAGATTTAGTCCAATTGAGGACTTTGTTAAGTGGTTTATATTTATATATTATATAATCTGTTCATTTTGCTTGCTTTGGAACTGATACATGTTTGTATCTCATTTTAAGGAAGCATATGAGGAATTTAAACATGTTCTTCTTGCTTTAATTTATGACAAAGATGATGAGACGTCTCCGGTGGTAAATGAGGTAAGTGGAAAACATCGTCATTTTGATATCTGTTAGCAAAGAGCTCTATGATGTCCTGCATGCACTTCTCGTTCTCGTCCTTTTTTCTTTTTTGATTTTTTTTATGTCGGGTGTTATGGACTGCGAATTATATTCAAGGATATTTGTGCAAGTAATTTTGAGAGCTCAGCGCTCTAAGGCATAATGGCACAAATTTGTTTATTTCCTGGTATTTAAGATGCGGTTTGCAATAAATATCTATGCATTTTGGCCGCATCATTCGATTCATGTGCTTTTATTGATGTTATATTTGAAGTAGCTATCTAGCTGGAAGAACATTATCTATTGGGAACTAGTGACCCAAGTGGTACATGGCATAGAAGGAAAATATCAAATTACCAAAAATATAATTCTTCATGTACGACATGTTGGCAATAGCCAATAAGATTTCTGATAACCTGAGTACTGCTTAAAAATTAAAAAATAAACCTGTTCAAATCTTCCTTATTGGCTGGAGAAGTATTAACTAAAGTTTGTGAAGCAATATAGAAATGTTTAGTACATGAAGGTATCTGAGGTGGAAATGATGGCGTGCAGGAATCACATGCACTCTAAAATGTTGAAATGTGTGATGTTGAAGAAGTATATATTTGTAATTTGATTAATCAGTTATTCTCGTCACGCGGACTGCGTTTATTTGGTGTGACTTGAATATATGAAATTACACAGTTATTATTTGTAGTTATAATGCCTGTTTAGAGATTTCCTGCCACAATCATGATAAAACATTCGCACATGGCCCCGAGTTAGAATGTGAGAAAGCTTAAACAAATTTTTACTTTTTAGGTTTGGACGAGTAAAGATTCTCCTGGATTATTATGCTGTAATGAATAATTATGCTTGATTACCAGTCATGTGTAGGCCATAGCATAATGAAGAGGTTATATATATATATATATATATATATATATATATATATATATATATATGAAGATACGTATGTAGTTTCTCATGATGCCTGTTTTCCTCTTAAGAAGGAACCAGCTACAAGCATTTTTCAGTATTGTGAATGTGGTGCAGTAGGAATAATTGAGGAAATGATGTTTCTAATTAAGAGTGTAAACCTAATTTCACCATATGAAGTGATAGATATTGTTCACTTGAATTTATCTTGGCGAACAAAAGCAGAATAGGCATGTTTTCTTTGTAAAGTTAACCCACTTCCTTTATTTCAGTGGTCTGAAGGCAGAAGGTTTGAGATTGCGGGATTCCTATCTTCTGTATTGCGGGCCCATTTACATGCATATGATCCTATATTTTCAATGACGTTGAGATATTTAATAAGGTAATCTTCACTTATTTCTCAATATTGTATGAGCATTGATTAGATTTAATTGTCTTTCATATTGGTACAAATTAGAAAGCTTAGGAACGAGGCACACTTTGATGCGGTGCAAAAATTTGCACACATGTGCATCTTCTGTTTAATTTATTCTTAAGGTGTTGAATTTTGCACACAATATGCAGCATACACAAGGGATTTTGCCTTCATCAAGGATTTTCATCACCCATAACTAATCTTACAGAGAGGTTGCTTCTTGAGGAGCGTGACCCCCCTGCAACACCACAAGAAAGTTTGTTTGAAGTGCCTCCATTTGATGAGGTGAGATATCTGAAGAGCTGTTTAAATTTTAAATTTTAAATCATATTACACATCTTTGGCCTTTTCAAGCCGGCAGGTAGATAGCTTCATAGTAACTTATTTCTCGATTTTAAAATGAGTTTTTAGCATTGAACTTATTTATATTTGGCTTGTACACCAGGTGGACATCCAAGCTCTTGCTCATGCGGTGGAACTTACAAGACAGGGTGCAGTAGATAGCTTGAAGTTCGCCAAGGGTGATTTACACCAAGCTTTTCAGGTTGATTTAACTTAGTTTTTAAAGCTATTATTGACATACACGATTTCATCCCCTTTTTTGAATATTAACCACAGTTATCCTCAAGTTAAATGAAAAAGTCGTTTCTAGTGAGCATGCAGTGCATGAGAACATGTCGGCCTTTTGTAGTTCTTTCACATTAGATGGATGGTAGTGAAAGGAGTGTCATAATATTAAATGATGATTCTTGATCAGGATTGTTAACAATGTAAATATTACGTTTGGATCCTTTTATGCCTATTGTTAATGTTGAATATGTTAAATAATCAAAAGGTAGATTTCTTTCTATTTCTCTTTTGAAATCTTCAATCTGTTTTAGTCTATTGGAATGCAAGTGATTAGTCCAAATGAAGAAGTGATCATGTTTTAATTTCAACCATGCCCACAGCTGCATGGATTCCACTGTAGAGGATAAGTAGTTGCAGTTAAGTCTTTGTCTGTTAATTTTTGCTTGCTTCTGCAGTCTGAGACTCCTAAGAATTGTTCTTTAAGTTTCCTTTACATAGTGAGGTGCAATTAAGTCTCGATCTATTAATATTTTCCTGCATATCGGGTGTGAAATTGTTAAGAGTTATTGGTTTTTTAGTTGCTTTACATAGTGATTGCAGAATTTGTTCATAAAATTTAATGCATGGAGCCGGCAGGTGTAACTATGTTACGATTACATCTGCTGGAATTTGTTGGTCTAATTGGGTATGCAGTAACCAACTCTTTAAACATTGCTCTCTTGGTTGGCAGACCTTTGGGACCTCGAGAAAATCCTAGATTACAATTTTTGCCCAAAAGTTCATTGATGTGGTTGATTACGATTCTAAACATTAAAGTTAACTGTAACTAATGTGTAAATATGGAAGTTCATCACTCAAGATACTTATCAAAGATAAGAAGCAACATGTGCCAGCATTTCAGGAGTCAGAAATGTACTTCTGCTGTTTATTTATCTATTAATTGTTGGGAGTTGTAATACCTAGGGATGACAATGGTTCCGGTAAAACCCGAAATCGCCCGTGTGGAGGTGATTTTGATTAGTATAAACTGGTTCAGATTGAGTTTCGAAAGAAAAAAAATTATGCATATATTTATAGCATGTGACTTCAAAAATATATTTTTTCAAATTCTGATTAGTGTTGTATTGTCATAAAAAATGAATGCGAATATCTTCATTTAAAGTTTCTTATGGACTATTTTATCCTCGACATCTTTAAACCCTAAACATTAATTAAGTGCCCAAATTCTTCACACTAAATACATAATCTTTAACACACACACACACACACACACACACACGCACACACACACACACACACACACACACGCACACACCCAGCCCTCCACCAATTTCATCCTCATATCCGTGGTGCTGATGAGTTTTAGTTTTATAAAGAAAAACATGTGCAATACTTGAATTCTCTTTTGCACATTATGGATGATCGCCCCTGATGGAATTACTTGCTCTATTTAAAGCTTTCCCTGTAATCAATTGTAAACCTAGTATGGAATGTCTGTTTCCTGTCAGAGTATGTTCTGGTGGGAGTATGATGTCAGAGAAGAGCTTACAGGGGATATTTAACACCTTTCCATGTGTATATAAGATGAGTTAGCAATCTAGCCCTAATAGAAATCACAGTATTATTGAGTTAGGCTTCTGAATGATACTATTTGGCACTCTACTCCGTATACATTTTCAGCTAATTGGGAGCTCTTGCTTTGTGCAGTGATGGACTGATTAATCTCATATTTTCTGTGGAACTTTATTTTTTAGGCTTATAAATCTTCCTCGTTTCTTTATTGTTGCAGAATGAATTATGCCGGATGAGATTAGATATAACTCTCCTCGATGAACTTGTTCGCGAGTATTGCATTTACAGGGGTATCATAGAATCTGATCCAACAAATCATGGCGAAGGTCTGCTCTTTTCAGTTGACCATCATCATTTGTTTTCTGTTTTTCTCTTTTGCTTATCATTTAAATTCAGTTGACCATCATCATCATCATATTTCTTTTATGTAATTTACCATTGGCAGGGTTGCATGTTACATCTGGAAAGGCAGTTGTTGATCAATTGAACCCAGGCAGTAATTTATCCGAAAATTGCTCAATTGGTTCCGACAGTGATATGTCATTAAGCAGTGTTCACATCGGAGGTTCTCAAAGTAAACTAGATCTGACGAGCACACAAATTGCTGACATGGAGGTCCGGTACCCTCACGAGTCCATCAGTAGTAATGAAGACTGTAGCACCAGTAAAACTCGTCATCCTCAAGGCAACAAACCTGTGCAAAGAAACAGGAGTCCTATGGAGAGGGGCAAGCGCAAACGATGGAGGGGAAGAAATGAGAATCTGGAAATTGTTTCTGAACCTTCTAGTGACACTGACTTAAACGATTGCACGAAAATGGTAAGAGACTTGCATTATTTAGTTGCTGATTTTAATTTATTTGCTATATCAAACTTTACATCAATGCTTGGTAATTATTTTGCAGGATATGAAAAAGTCATCCATGACGTACAATGTTAGCAATAGGTTGAATAAGTACGAAATCATCTTAGGAATGAAGGAATTAGCCAGCGAGGGAATGACAACGGAGGTTGTTGAAGAGATTAATGCTCTGGATCCAGACTTTTTCACTCACAATCCAGTACTGCTCTTTCAACTGAAGCAGGTTCATGCCTCTGTTTGCTGTTATTCAAATTAAAGATAATAAGTTCAATAAAATGGGGAAAATTAATCCGTCTGATTTTTAAATGTGGTGAAGGTTGAATTTTTTAAGCTGGTTCGGGCGGGTGACCATTCTTGTGCACTGAAAGTTGCCTCATCTCATTTGGGTCCTTTGGCAGCTAAAGATCAAGCTTTGCTTAAACCCTTGAAAGAGACACTGTTGACTTTGCTCAAATCAACTGAAGAACCGATTGGCAAACAACTGCCCTTGGATACACTTGCAACTTCACTCCAGGTTCGCATGCTCATAACTGAACCAACTACTTTTTATTTTTTAATATAGTACTTAGCCCGGTTGAATCTATTTTTCATTTACCGCCATATTTATCCTACAATTACCATGAACTTTGTGAACTGATAGTAATTGTTCTTTTACCGCATGTTCCCCCTTACACTGAGAGGTTCCTTAAGAAATTGTTAAATAATTATGCATAGCCAGGGCGTAGGGTTAATAAGATATAATAACCGAGCCATTACATGATTACCTGTCTGAGTTACTTTTTAGTTGTGTCGCATTTTTTTTATTGGAGATACTAATGAATGATTTCTTGTTTGAAGGTTGCTCTTGGCAGGAGGTTAGGTGTTGAGGAACCCCAGCTAATGAAGATTATAAGAGCGACCCTCAACACACACAGTGAATGGTTCAAGCTCCAAATGTGTAAAGACCAGTTTGAAGGTCTTTTATGGATCAATTCCCTAAAAGAAGTTGGTAGTCCTTTGCTTGGAGATGCTGCTTCAAAGTCCACTATTGATACTTGTACTCAAGGCTCTTCACCAGTTACAGTATCCTCCAGCAATGCAAGGATGCACGAAGATGGTAGCAGTCCTAATCAAATCTCGTCCACTGATATTGGATGTGATGAAAACTCTATAATCAAGGTTATGGTAAGTTGTCACTATTTTTCCTTTGGCCATAACGTAGATCATTAAGAGACATTCGGGTTTCAATATAGATCTTGATTTGTGGTCTGTCTTACCATACGAAGATCATTTTGTGGTAGTATGTTTTTTTTCTTCTTCTTTTTGTAGTTTAACGACAATTATTCATTACTGGCACATACTGTTTTTGTTTCAGGAATTTCTTGCTCTACCCAGAGCGGAGGCAATTCATCTCCTTGCCCAGTATAACGGAAATGCAGAAACCGTGATTCAGCAGATATTTGCTTAAGCTTAAGAGTTGTACATCCATTGCAAAATCTAGTCCTTTTCAATTGGATTAATATTTATGTTCTTGCATACCGTATGTTGTGTATTTGTACAACTAGCTCAATAGGAAAAATAGTCTCTCTTTGTATTGTGGATAGAGAAGATGATACTGTGTAGACGGGGAAACGGGGGTGTTCATATTCTTTCACGGTTGCTGAATAAGAAACAATGTTAAGATACTATTCTTTGTAACAACTGGACTTGGTTTTGTTCAATTCTACGGTTTCGTGTGACGTGATAATCTTCTTTTTATACATTAATGATTGTTTTTAAGCTGATCTGGTCACAATACGTGGTTGGGGTTGCGGTCGACACAACCTTATTACCAACTACAAATGTAGCAGGATGAACTGCCATACTAGTTGGGAAGACTACAACAAATAAATACACAAGGAATGGCCGGCTTGGTGAAGGGCTATAAAAATCCATACCCTTGAGCATCACTTTGGTTAGCTACTCGTGTAAAATCGCCAACTGCAAGTCCTCATCGAAACCACGTCTTCCATCACCAGAATCGAGCCCATTGCATCTTTTTCCGTAAAGCCACATTTTCTTGTGGATCGATAAATTATGCTACCACTCGAAGTTCAGCAAGACAAGACGACATCAGCATTCAACGTTGCACAATATGAATACTTGCATTATATAAACACAGATACACACACATAAGAATGCAGTACAATGGTACTACCTTCAAAATGTCTTCAGTCACGTGTCCTGCACCATTTTGTAGTTAAGGAGTGAACCATATAGGCGGTGGCACAATCCTCTTTATGCTCTGTGTTTCAGAGTTGGTGGCGGCGGCCGGAAAATAGCAAGAGGAGAAAGTCCTTGTTTTGTAATTAAAAACTCCATTATCATGCCCACCGTATTCTCTATCCTTATCCCAATAACGTGGGCAATATTCCTTCGAGTCCGTAAAATAAATAGAATTCGGACTCAGTTTCAGTTCCTCTGCGGCGGAGATGGCGAAACCATGGTTGATTCCGATGAATATCGCCAGCCCATCCAACGAACTCTCCATGTAAATCAATTCTCCATTTTGTAAATCAATTTTGTGAACATCAAAAGAAACAGTCATGTACGGAGCAGTTTTTTCACCGGAGACCGGTCCGGAATCATACTCCGGGTTCAAGATAAACCGCCTGACGAGAAAAAGTTCGCCGGTCTGCTCTGCAACGACCAAATACTTCACGGATTTGCTCTCCCTTTTAAGCATGTACTCTTCCATCTTGCAAGCTGAGCCGTAAGGGTAGTTGTCTTTGTCCGATTTCAAATCCATCGGAGTCATCTCCGGAGAATTCGGGTCTTTGAAATCCCAGGCCTCGAAATCCCCGAATTCGGTGACGCAGAAGAAGAGTTTGTGTTTGCCGGAGTAGACGAAGTCCTGGTAAGCCCTTGGGAGAGTCTTGTCCTCGAACGCGTGGGACCACTCGCCGATTGGGGTCCACTCTGCGGCGGCGCGTGAGGGGCAACTACAGAAGGCGAGCCTCTCGTCCATACTGTAACTCATCATCGCGACGCAGTGTTCTTGTTCTTCAGGGGAACAGGATATTATGAGCTTGTTCAGAGGCGTACAGTAGTCTTCGTAGTCTTCGTGCACGGGTAACGCGTCGATTGGGGGGAGCTCCACGCGCCGGTTTGAGAGGGGATTGTAGAGAAATTGCTGCTCTTCTCTGTGATTGCATAAAGCTAACCATCCGTGTGAAGAACCGACGATTTCGTGTTTGTCGAACAATTCTATCTCTTCTTCTTCTTCTCCACCGCCTCTATTTTTCAGATTCACCACTTTGTCCTCTGAAATGCTGTAGAAATTGTAGACAATTTTTCGATTTTCTCCGAATGTCGGTGGCAGCATAAGCCACGGCGGCGGAGAAGAAGAAGTTGTTGAAGGCAAAATCGATACTGACTCATCGGAAACAGCCACAAAACCACCCGATTCATTAGCTGCAGCCGCTCCCGGAGAACGACAATTGGAAGATGCGGCATCAACTTTATCAGAAATGAAACGGATCCGAGTGAACTGAGAGGTCCAATTTGAAGATCCGAGGTTCCGTCTCCATGGAAACCGACGGAGTAAAGAGGAAACCATTAATGCAGATCAGAGATCTAAAACCCTACTAGTTTCTCTCGCTATTTTCTTAGCCGGACAAATAATAAAAATAACATCAAATATATATATTATATCAATTCAAATATTGTCAGGAATTTTTATTTTATTTTATTAATTTAAAATTCTAATAATAATTTTTTTTTTTAATTTCTTTTTAAAAATTTCTTCATTTATTTTCATTTTCATCCGCTTCACCCACAAATAACCAACTCCATAGTTGGTTCGAACAGTTTTGGCCGAAAACTGGGTTCTTTGAAGAGTTCGCTGGTTCGATGTTTAACTTGGTTGAACCGAATTTTGATCATTTGATCCCGATTTTTAAATTTTTCAGTTTTATTCACCAAATCACCTAGTTGCGGTCGAACCGGCCAGTCCAGGGCTCACAACATTGATTATATCAATGGAAAGTTTATTATGACTAGATAATTCGAAAAGGTTACATGCATGTAGGGGTGGTTTCGGTACGGTTACCGAACATTTTGTTCAATACCGTGTACCTACCGTATCTTTCGGTATTGAAAAATTCTATACCGTTACCGTACCAACAATTGCGGTATACCGTTATTCGGTATACCGTTAGTTTCGGTACGGTATGATCGGTACGTGGTAATCTACCGTACGTCATTTTGTTGATGAACTCGGATGATACAATAATTAAGATGAATACTAATTAAATGCATAAATACAACAAATTAAGCAAATGAATATGGTAATCAAACAATTTACATGAATATACATTATACGACCGTAATAGCGTATGTTGCTTCAATTAACTAATGATTACTAAGATATGTATAGAAAAATTGTAGAAACTAATGAGCAAAAAGTTCCATGGTTTAAGTAAGATAAATAAAAAAAATTATGTTGTAATAATGCAAATGAAACAAAAGGGTGAGAACTTAGGGGGGGAAGAAAGGGAGAAGAAAATTATGGCAAAAAATATTCCACCAATAAGAGATTAGTTGGACTTTGAAACTAAAGAAGTACGTGGAATAAACAACTTTAACGAGAACCAAATTAAATATTGAGTTTGCATAAATATATGAAAATAAAAAAAAAAAAAATAGAATTATGTATATATAATATATATAGGATGTATCATATCTTTATTCTTGTTTTTTATTTTTATTTTATAATATTTGTTGACTATATTTTTTATATTTACAATATGAAGGGTAAAATATATTAACTAATTTTTAAAATACAAAGTTACGGTACGGTACGGTATTACCATGGTATTGAAGATACAATACCGCTACCGTACCGTAAGATAATGGTACGGTACCGATACCGTACCAAATGTAGTGGTAACCGATAGTTCGGTATTTATTCGGTAATTGTTGGTAGGTATACCGTGTTAATCGGTATTTGGTAATTTTTGCCCAGCCCTACATGCATGAATTAAAATTATCAATTTATTTTATAAATGCAAGGAATAAATCCCAAACACTTGTGATTATATTAATAAAAGAACATAAATATCTTTGTAGGTTGTAATAATAATGGGCCAATTGGGTTGAGCCCAATTATGAACCCTCTATTATTTTGGAGACCCAGTTGGGAGTGATTTGAGCCCAATCATAATCGTGCATCTGAAAAAAAAAATAACATTTAGGACCATCTATTTAAGTTTTTTTCTCCTGCGATGCACGAGATATTATTTCGAAAGTGAAAAAAAAATTAATTTAATACATAATAAGAAAATATAGTACACTAACATAGTAAAATTTAATAATGTAGTATTATTCATATTTTATATAACATTAGTTTTTTTAAATCTTACATATTAAGAATTACAATCCAAATATATAGATTAAGATTTACCTCTTAAGATTTGAGATACATTGATGAAAGAAGGAAATTGATAATTGTTGAAAAATAGTAGAGAAAAAATATTAAAAATAAATAAATACAGAAGTACCATTAGAGTAGGATTTTTCACAATTTAGTTTCAATTTTGATAATTGTTAAAAATGATGGTTAGAAATAAATAGAAAAAAAAATATTAAAAATAATTAATTACTGAAATACATTAGGGTTTTTTTAGAGTTACCCTTTTCTTTCTTTTATATATAAGATTATAATTATATAGAAAGAAAAAGAAAATAGAAAAGAGAGGCTAATATAGAATAATAATAAATATTAAAAGTTATAAATATAGGCAAAAATCTTTGTGATGCCCCCACCAAATCTAACCTCACTTGGCAGCAACTATTGCAAATGCAGCCAACTGGCAGGAATAAAAGATACTTGTTTCGCTGACTGAAAGGTCAAATCTTTACCCTAAATAGCATTAATTTTGGAATTAATATCATAGATTAACAAAAAGATAATTTATCATATTTATATTTAAGATTGAATTTTTAATATAAAATGGTGGGCTCAAAGAACATATTGTCCCTTAAATCTCTCCTTATACATATTACTTTTGTTAGCCTCTCAGATATATTATAACTACACAACCACCACCGCACCATATGAAAAAATATTACACTATACTTTATTTAATTTTATATTTTTTTTTCTCTTTTCCGTACGTGCTATTTAATTTATTTATTAGCTATGTAAATCTATTTATAAATTATATATGAAGTAATTTGAATTGATCAAATTAAGCTTAACCCTAGAACTTCCACAATTAAGATTAATTATGTACAGAGAATACAATATATATATATATATATATATATATATATATATATATATATATATATATATATATATATATATATATATATATATATATATAAAAGAATCTCCAACCAATGAGGAGGACCTACCCCCTTGAACATATATATTTGATTCTATAAATACACAGAAAACCTAGGGGTTCAAACGCATTACTCACTGAGTGTATTATTATTATTATTCCTTTCTCTCTCTTTCTCTCTCTCCTTCTCTCTCTATATATACATCTATTAATATTATATTCCATCAAACCCTAATTTAGCCCTTACTGATTCACATGGCTCAAAAAAAGATGTCCATTGGCTTCTTTTTCCTTGTTATAATTATAATATCCCTGAAAATTCAATCCACAGAGGGAAGAAAATTTAAGGTTAGTAACAAATTACCCACAAAATGTTCAAGTATGGCATTGTGTGGAAACGAGGCTGCAGCATCTACGCTGCCGCCGCCGCCGCCACCACTGCCGCCAGTCACAACCGATACTAGGCCACCGGCGGCGCCAGGCCATGCAGATGACTTCAGACCTACTACACCTGGTCACAGCCCAGGAATAGGCCATTCTTTATAAACTATATATATAGGGTTTTATAATTATATTGTTGTGTGTTGTGGAAAATGTAGTACGTACTGTCATTTTATGTGTTCGTGAATTTACGTTTTTATTTGTTCTGAGAGATTATTTGTACTGTCTGTACTATCAATGCAATTAAGTTTTAAGTCGTTTAAATTATGTTTCAGTTTCCATGCATATTATATAATATATGAATGTTCGATGTTACACCTGGTTATTTACATATAAAAACATACGAGACAGTACATCTGGTTAATTATTTTCACTGGGTGGATTTGAACCGTCGTAGGTTTGATTAAATAACTAGTCACTAATTAAGTTAAGCACACAACACACTAGTGTGCATGTGTGATTATATATATATAGACCTACGTACGTACGGTTCAAATCCACCCGATGTAGCATCTAATTTTCCACCTACGAGCATGACCAAACTCTAGGTTATGCATGCATTTGATAGATGTGATCATGGCATTTCATATTGCATCAAGTGAAGAACCAGCAATTCTACATTTTATTCAAGAAGATGAAATCACAGACAATTAACATAATTAATCGTTAATCTTTATCGAAATAATTAAAATATCATTAATTCACGAATAAAATTAACAAATATAATGTTTGTATGCATGCATACATCAGATCGTGTGAATTAATATTTTCGGGTTAACAATTTTACTATTGACCTAAACGTACATTCGGTTTAACTATTTTCGGGTTAACAATTCGTACTTTTGTGATTTTCGTTTAACCATTATATATTTTGTTGGTTTTCATACTTTTGTGATTTTTGTATTTATTACTACATATAAATTAATTAAATGCTTTATAATAGTTATAAAATATGCTGAAATTAATAATTAATAGTTATAATAGTTATAGGTTTGTAAGAAAAAAATGTGTTGCGTCTCAAACGTTTAACTATGCATATGTAGTAAAATCAGAATTTAAAAAAAAAATGTAGCTAGCATATAAGTACTGCATATATGTAGAAATTACAATCCAATGCCATTAATTAATTAATATTAATAATTAATAGATTCAAAATGGGAAGATCAATCTGTGGTGAGGGTCGCTTTCAAGAAACACGCTTTTGCACTTTGTACATTATAATATATATATAATATAATAATAAAGCGTTAGAAAGTTGATAATGCACTACAGCCTAGCACAAAGAGAGAATCAAATGGTACGTGCTTATTGATTAATTATAACTATATATATATATATGCTTTACAACAATATAATTATTAATTAACAATATTATTATTAGTATTTATTTATTTATTTTTATTTTCAAAGTGTGACAGCCTCACTGAGGGTTCCGAGGCTTGGGGAGCCAACGATTTTGTGCCCTTTTTGAGGAATCTTTTTATTTTATTTTATTTTATTTTATAGTTTGATTTTTCAATGGAGAGTCAAAGAAAATGGAGGGTTGAGGTATTGCCCTTTATAAAGCTCATCATTAATTTGCATATCCCTAATTTGACTTCTTTTATTTGGAATTTTAACAGCCGAAAAAGCAAAATTTAATTAGCTTATTCACCAATTAAAAAAATAAAAGAGAAGGGGGATTTATTCAGCCTGCGGGTAATTTGCTCAACACTCGTGTACACTAATACTCTTTCAGATTATGATAGTTAGATTTTAATTTGCTAAAAGTCGTATATTATTCGACTCGTCTCATCCCATCTAATCTGACTGCAATTCGTTAGAGTCCGTCCAACTCTGTCGCACTCCGTCAAATCTGCTCTACCCCCTCTCTTTGTCG